CCAGGGTTCCTCTGCCTGGAGGCCATGGACTCCTGGGAGGCCCAAAGGATAGGCTTGGGGTGGGAGGCGTCCATAAGCCCTTGTCCTCACAGGCCACATTTGGGGTGTCTATGCATGTATGTATTTTCTAGGTAGAGGGTCCCTTCCTTTCAGAAGAATCCAAAAGGAGTCTGTGAACCCCCTCAGAAGTTAACACCTACCACATCTGGACTTTCCCCCACCCCACCCCCAGCTTCTCTCGCCTTGAAGAGCCGACCTCACTCACTTATAAATAGAAACCCTCCCTGGACACGGATCTAGAGTGACAAGATGGGCCCAGAGTCTGAGCAACGAGCAGAATCATCACCTGCCCTGTCCTCTCCCAGCCTGAAAGGCCGTCTACTCTGGACCCTCCTTCTCTCCCATCTGTAGCCCAGGAGACCACAGGCTGCCTGTCCCTACCCCAACCCCACACATGCTGTTGTCCCTCTTCTAGAAAATGAGGCTAGCCCCTGTCCTCAGCAAGCCACAACCAGGAGGGGGATGATTAGGAAGCTCCTGTGTCCCCAAGACCCCATCCCTACACCCTCCCCTCCTCCTGGAGGGGCCTTGCGTCAGTGCAGACCCAGGTGGAGGCAGGGTCCAGGAAACAACCTATCTTCTGAGCTCCACAGCCTACTGGCTATGTGCCGGGATGTCCCATAGGCACCTTGTGTGCAAAGTCCTCCAGCCCAAATCTGCTCAAGCCCCAGTGCTCCCACCCCAGACAGAAACATAGGTGTCACCCTTGCAGCCTCCTACCCCCAGATATCCAGTTGGTGATGAGTCCTGCAGATTCAGACACCTGCCAGGTCTTCCCAGCCCTCACCTCTCCATCTCCAGGGACAGAGATGTATGAACTGCCTGGACCACTGTAGTAGCCCTCTCATTGGCCTCCCTGCCTCCTGTCTCCCCTCCCTCCCTCCTGCTCCCCACATAGCTTCTGGAAGACTTTTGATAGAATGCAAACCTACTCATATCATTGACCTGCTTAAAACGTTTGTTAGGGACCTATTATCTTCAGGACAAAATCCAAACTCCTTCCTATGCTTCTCAGGACCTGGCCCTGAGTTTTTTTCCAAATTCAACTCGTGTCACTTGCCCATCCCAGCCCCCACCCAGTGCCCTACTCATTCTGAATTCCTTATAAACCTCTCCTTCTGATGTCTGGTGTCTCTGGCCCTCCCCTAGGCTGTGCCTTACCCTCCACCCTTCACTGGGTACATCCCACTCTTCCTTCAAACTCAGCTCCCAGGCCAGGTCAAGCCCTCCCTGAATTATTTCCCCAGGCTGGGTCACAGGCTACTCCTCCGTGTATCTTCTCTGAGCATGTACTACAAGTAAATGGGACAGTTGACTGGTCAGTGACTTCTTTGAGAGGATGGATGCAGTGCCTCAGACTCAGTGGTGTGCTGGAGACCCCTTGTGCACATCTCTTCCCATCTCCACATTCAGTGACATCATGTTGGTGGCTTGAAATTGGCCACGGAGGGAGCATTTACACCACGGAAATTGGCAAACACTACAGACACCACAAATCAGAACATTTTTTTCTTTTTTCTTTTTAAAGGTCTAGTTATTAAACCTTTATCAGCATGCCACTGCCTAGGCCACCTCCCATGCACAGGAAATGGTGTGCAATGGATGGATGGATGGATCGATGGATGGATGGATGGATGGGTAATTCACAAGTTCTTCGTTCCATGTACTGCCCCCTAGTGGATGGGCACACACATGGTCTCCCTCCATCAGATCATCAGGTCCCACTTCCTCCCCTTAAGTCATATTCTTGCTCCCTCCTCAGTGTTCTGTGTCCTCCTCACCAGGCCCTCTGGGCAAACCAGTCCTGCCAATTATCTAGCAGTGGTGGGTTAAGGGGTGGGGAAGCAAGAGAGTGCGGACAGCCTGGGACCTGCTTTGGGTAGAACGGGGATGATAAAATGGGGGCTTCTTCAACGTCTCGAGTCAAGACGTTGGTAGAGGAGGTCAGGAGTGGCACTGCCATCCCCAGCAGGGAAACTGAATGATGGGTAAGGTAGGTGACAGTGGGAGAGGATAGGCTGGAGAGGGCGGCAGCAACAGGGCTCCTCCCCCACGGAAGCACCAGCAACACCCTCCCCAGAGCCCCCAATCTGATCAATACCAGGATGGATGGACACAATCGCCTCATTAAGGGCATTGCAGGGGGACCAGGAGCCTTTGGCCATTGCCCCTCTCAGCATCTGCTGACACTCTCCCTTGCTGTCTCTCTCAGCTCTCTTCCTCAGCTGGCCCCACCTCTCTCCTCAGTCTGCGAGGCTCCCTCTAAGCCTGTCTCTGTCCTCATCTACATCTGGGGTTCCGTCTCTCTCTTCAGCTCCCAGTCTGTATCTCTCTGTCTCTGTCATCCCTACGTCTCTGTGCCTCCACCTGTCTCTGTCTCCTCCCCGTGAGACTCCATCTCCCCCTCTATATCTCTGTCCCACTTGTCTCTGTGTCTTTATATCTGCCTCCCTCCCTCCGGGTCTCCATCTTGCCCTCTGTGCCCCCATCTCCCTGTCTCTGTCTCCCTCTTTCTCTGTCTCTGTCTCCTCTGCTGTGTTTCCATCTCTCTCTCTCTGTCTCTGTCTCTCGGCCCAGCATCTCCTCACTCTCCTCCCCGCCCCCCCCCACCCAGCCTGCTCAGGCTCCAGGGCCCAGATGGCGGGACGTTCACGCCGCAGTGCCTGCAAGCACAGGGCCATGGCTGCTTCTGGGACGTCTCACCACCCCCAGACTCTGAGCCTGCCGGGCAGCAGTCAGTTATCCGTCCGGCCTGCTGGGGACTCCCACTCACCCCTATGGGGCCCTCGGCAACCAGGTATTGGGACAAACGCCTCCATGGAGCAGACATGGTGCTACCACTGAGTAGGGACTCCCTGCTGCTGAGGGCTTGGGGGGCCCATCCCTGACTTTCCTTAGGAATTTGGGCAAGGAGATGCTGCAGGCATCCTTGACTGATCGCTTTTACTTCCTCCCCAAGGGGCTGTTCTTCTTGACATCTACCTGAAAGCCCTCTTGCTGCGGCTTCATCTGCCCTCAGTTTCTGTGACTCAGCTTCTTCCCAGTGCAGTTAAGCCTCCACCAGCAGCATCAGCTGGGCAGAGATTGCTGGGCACGCCGTCCCCCAGGGGGAGGCGCTGAGGAGGTGCACCCTGGGGGAGGGGCATCTGACCAGGGCCAGATCTGAGGTGAGGGAGAGGAGGTTGACGTCAGGCTCAGGAGCTGGGGTAATGGGAGGTTAGGGGCTTTCATGACGGGTCCCTGCAGCAGAAAATGCTGCCCCTGCCAGCCCAGCGGAGCAGAGTGCCTCTCCCCGGGAGGCTGGCTGAGCGGGCTTGTGTACACACACCCACGCCCCATGCGCCTAGACACAACACGCCCACCACAGTGCCACACTCTGCACCTGCTGGCATTGTCACCCGTGTCCTGCCCCCCTGCACCTCACCTCCAGAGGGAGGGAACAGGGCATAGCTGGCTGTTCAGGCAAGAGGAACAGGCCACAACTTGGTACGATGGTGATGGGGGAGGGGCTGGGGCTGGGGTGTGCCTGGCCAGACGGGGCAGTCGGAGTAAGAGCTGAGTGCTCACAACACGGCAGAGAGAGAGTCAGCGCAGTCGGGGGCCGGAGCTTCAGATCATTTCCCATCGCCTCCAGCCCCGGTGGATCTATGATCCCCAGCCTCGACCCAGACCCCCTCTCCCCTTCCCCTGGGCACCATTCGGCAGAGCCCAGGCCCCGCCCTGTGGTCACTCCCCCGACACACACCCGTGCAGGCGCCCCCTTCACACTCCAACCCCGACCCGCCTCTACCCCTGATTAGGGGGTTGGGGAGGTCCGTAGCCACGGTTCCATAGCAGGAAAAGTCAGGTTCTGGCGGCCCAGTCCCCTCCCCGAGCCCCAGGGAGGCGAGAACATAGACGAGAAGAGCACAGAAGGGCCTGTGGACTGCAGCACCTGCCTGCCGCCTCCCTTTTTCCAGGAATCAGCCAAGGGGGTGACCTGGAAGGCCAAACTGGGAGGAAGGGCTGCCTTCTGGAAAGAACCCTATGCTCCCACCCCTAGTCCGTGTAGGGGGTGGGAAGTCAGTGGGGTCCCCGAGGCCACCCCTTCTGTCCTCACACAGCTCTGAGAGGGAGAATGCCTCCTGCCCATCAGCCCAGATCCCACAGCTTGCAGCCATTGGCCCCACAGAACGAGCCGCTCCTTCTTCCACACGACAGCCCTTCAAATATTTGGAGACAGCTTGCCAGTCCCTGCTGAGCCTCCTCTTCTCCTGACTAAACATCCTGCTTCTTAGAACGATTCCTCAAACACAATGGTTTCAAGTCCCCTCGCCATGCTGGGCCCTCTCATCCACCCAGCGCCGCCTCGCTCACAGCAAGGCTCCCAGAATGGAGGCCAGGAGCAGATGGCCTCCCGCCCGACCCCGATAGGCCTTGCTTCCACGCAGGCACAGCCACCAACCCTCCGCTCCTCCCTCCTACCGACCCGGCCTCCTTCTGCCTCTAGGCAATCCCACCCCTAATACTGAATCAGGTGAATGAATGCTGAAGGGCCTGGCACTGCGCTGGGGGATCCCCCGACACCTTCTCTCCCCACCATATCTCCTCCAAAGACCCCAATCTCTTCCAGTGATTTGTCCCTCCAAAGAGGCCTTACCCACATCTGATGTTCGGCACTCATTCAAATCCTTCAAAGACCTTCTCCTCTGAGAAGCCTTCCCAGATAGCATATGCCCAGCTCAGACCCTGTCCCTGCCCTGGGCAATCTCCATACTCAAAGACTGAGTGACATTCACTGGTTGTTACTCTCCAGAGTCCCCATGCACTGCTGCATCTCCTCGTGTCCTCCTCCCTGCCCTGCAGGCTGGCAGCATGAAGAGGAAATTGAACACAGGAGGAGGGAGGCAAGGAAAGGAGGGTCCCCAGCCCCCAGGACGGTGCCCGTGCCCACACCCTACCTGCTCGTGGTATTCGATGCCCATGCTGAGTGTGTTGACCAGGATAGCAATCATGATCCCCCGGCCAAAGTACTTGCTGTCCACAATCTTCCGGAAGGTGTCACAGATCAGCCTCCAGAAGGCCAGCACAGAGTTGGGCTCCACGTCCAGCCCCAGGTTCCGTCGCCGCCGGCTGTGGGGGTCCCGGAGGTCGCCATGCTGGGCTTCCTGTGTGAACTCATAAACCGCCTCGCTGTCTGAATCAGGCATCTCGTGGCCAGCGAGCTCCACCTCCCCTGCCCCAGCCCGGGCACAGTAGGGGCAGCTGTCGGGGCCACAGGCTCCACTGTCTGCCTTCAAGCAAGGGCTGGAGATCTTGCAAGAGCGTTGGCAGGTGCCTGGGACAGAAGGGGAGAGGTTAGAGGTTCCCGGGTTTCTTACTTGGGGTGGCCCTTCCCTCTGAGTGTGCATAAAACGAGTGGGGGAGTTGGGAGTTGCTACAATGAGGGGGTGCTAGGCACTTAGGGGCCAGGAGAGCTGAAGGCCCTGCACCGTGGGCAGTCCTGAGCACTAGACTGCCTCCAAATGCCCATAGCATCCCACTGACAGTCACCGCTGGTGTCCTACGGTTCAGACAGGTGGCCTTGATGTCCTCTGAGGTCCTGGGCAGCTCCTATGCCCTAGGAGCCTTCAGCAAGGAGCCTAGACTCTCTCACCTTCCCAGGGAAGCCAGCCCTGAATCAACACTCCTCTGAATAGCATTTTCCAAGGCATTCTTAAGATACACACCCACACGTGTGGTCGTGTACATACACCAGACACGTACATGTGCACTAGATACACAGTTACACACACACATACATGCACCGCCAGACACATGCGTATCACACAATGCATGTGTGCCAGGCACATGCACACATGGGCACTCATACACACCAGACAAGAGCACCAGTCCTGGGTGCATACACATGCACCTACATATACCAGACACGTGTGCACACATAGGCACGTGAACACCAGACGTGCACGTACACATGCACACATACACACTAGACACCTTCATGCACACATACACACATACCAGACTGCATAGTGACCTATCCCAAAACATCAACATCCATTTAAATCCAGCTTTGATCATAGAAGATGAGAGCTGAAAGGAACCTCAGAGACCACCCAGGGGAAGCATGGACTCGAAGGCACCAGGCTCAGGGCAACGTTTCCCCTTCTGACTGCACACAGGAGGGCGTCAGTAAGCACCCACTCACAGCAATGACGGTCCCAGCCCTGCCTCTCACACAGGAGGGGGCTGAAACGTGCGCGTGTGCCACTGGCTTGTGTCCCGTGGCAGAGTAGTGGAAGAGCTGGCACAAGAACCTTCACACTGCGTTCTGCGATGGCACCTTCCTGTCCCAGCCCACATTCCCACATAACATCCCACAAATATACCACTTCTCCCACGTGCCGCATCCTTCCTGAAACACAGGCCCTGGGCTGCGGCTACAGTGAGTCTGCCTGTGGAGGAGGGCCTGCCGCCCCGTCAGACTGGGGGCCGCCCACAGGCGGTGAGCAGCTCACTTCCCCTAAGATGCTGGGTCCCACTCACAGCCACTTGAGGACTTGCTGCTTCCCTCTGGGGAGGGGATGAAACTCCTGTTTACAGAGACCCCTTAGCATGGGACACAGAGCTGGCCACAGTCACCCACCATTTCCCCTCTGAGCCTGGCAGTATAGAGCATGGGCCTCAAAGTCAAATGGTCCTGAGTCCACCCTTCACAAACAGCACAACCTTGGGCAAGTCACGCAACCTCTCTGAGCCTCCTTTTTCTCATGAGTGAAATGGGGACAATAAGAAAGCTTATCACCTAAAGTGTTGAGAGGATCCAATGGGATTCTGCCTGCAAAGCACATGACAGGCATGCAGCAATAGGTCCACAACTGTTAGGCATTATTGCAAACAGCTGGAGCAGAACACGCAGCACAGCTCGTTACACGAGAGTTATTGTTATTATTACAATGTAGGGATTATGATTCCCATCTTAACAGATGAGAAAATTAGGGCTCATGGAAGTGATGTGACTGGTTGAAGGTCCCAAGGCTGCAACGGGAAGAATGGGAATCTGAGCCTCGTCCTTCTGACTCCAGACCACCAGTCTTCGGTGGGATACCACCCAGCTCCTGGGCGAGGGGCACCAACACGCCCTCACCCAGCGTTCTCACCTGTACTATGTGTCTCTAGCAGCTTGTGCATGGAGCTGTAGGGCCCAGGTGGGATGTTGAGGCTGGTGAGGGTAGGGGGTCCAGAGGTGGGGGCCACCTCCACTAGTGCCTTGTCCTTCAGCATCTCTGGTGGAGGACTGGTGTGCACAGTGGGGTATACCTTCCCACTGCCCACAGTCCTGCCTGATGCCTCAGATGGTGACCTGGGAGGGGGCGCCTGGCAGCGGACTGGCTCCAAGTGGCAGTCGGCATGGTAGAAGCTGTGCACAGATTCTGTGCCCCCTGGAGGGCCCCCAGAGAGGGCGGGTGTCGAGGGTGGTGGCAGCATGAGCCGACGGGACCCGTTGGCATCCCTGTCCTGGATCTCCGGGCTGGCCCGGGGGGCCCGAAGCGTCCCATTTCCCAGGTGATAGTGGTGGTGATGGTGGTGGTGGTGGTGCACCAAGTGGTGGACGGATGGGCGGCGGTGGGAGCGAGAGCAGCTGCCGCTGGGCTGGGGCTCTGGGCCCCCTCGGGGTGCCGGGCTGCTCAGCAGCCCAGCCCGCACGCCCGCTGCCCGGGAGACTTGGGCCAGCCTGCGGGCTGCTTTACGGAGGATGTACACCAGGTACTTGAGCAGCTCCTCATAGCAGCTGCCCGGCTCAGAGAAGCTGGCCAGGGTGCTGGCGTTGGACAGGAACCGCACGCGCTGCTCCCGCATCAGCTGGCTTTCCCGCTGCTTGGTCTCTGAGAACTGCGTGGCGATCACCACCAGGCACAGGTTGATCATGAAGAAGGAGCCCACCTGTTGGGGTGGGGACAGGAAGAGGAGATGTCCTGAAGAAAAGGGAATCACAATGCCAGCCACAGCGTACCAAGCACTTCCCACGTGCCAGGTGCCGGGCTCCATGATTGCCTAAGCCTGATCTCATTTTATTCTCAGCATCGTCTCAAAAGGTGACACTTTTGTTATCTCCATCTTACAGGTGAAAAAAATGGAGGCTCAGCGAGGTCAAGGAATTTGCCCAAGATCATTCAGATAATGCACAGCAAAGCTAAGACTTGAGCCAAGCTCTGTGGAATTCCAAGGCATTGCTATTGATCACGATGCTGTCCTGCAACTCTCTGCCGCTAAACACACTCATCCTCGGAGAATCTGAGCACTCCGCCCCAATTCCCATTAGGAATAGAGAACGCTGTGGAAATGAATGCAATATTGGGGACGTGTGGTTTTCACATAGGATTCAATCTTTGAAATCTTGGTAAAAACATTGTTCACAAGACTCCTGCTGCTCGTCCCAATTCTAGCTGCGTGACCTTGAGTGAGACCCTTAACCTTGGGGCTTCAGTATCCTCATGACCATTGCCTTACCTGTATCCCTTTTCCCTGTTCCCTCCCCTCCCCCAGATGGGCTGAACCCTGAACCCATGCCTCAATTTCCCCAGGACTCTGGGATGGCCACTGCTGGACCAACAATCTAGAATGAAGGAAATGAATATTTATAGTGACAAAGCAGATTTTTTTTTTCTAGATTGTGTCCTAGTAATTATGATAATTAGCTTCACTAGTGTGATTTCAGAGAGCTGTTTGGAAAGATTTTTCAGGGGGTGTGTGGGCGGGTGGAAACCAGGCCCCTTACCTCCCTGTCTGCTTCCTTCCCCTGCCCCCAAGCCCACGGAGAGAAGCAGAGTGAAAAGACCACGTTTCTGCTTCCCCAAGCCACTGGCCCTGCCACCTGAGGTGACGGTGGGGGGATGGGGACAGGCCTCCAGCCCGGGCACTCTTCCACACCAGGGAAGCTTTCAAGGGCAGGAGAGGGTGGCCTCGAGGACTTGCTCTTTCTCAAGGCCTACCCTCTGACTGTCACTCACTAAGAGCTGCCTGAGTCTGTCTCCACCTCTCTCGGGAGCTTGTCCTAGGTCCTGCCTAGATCTTAATCTCTCTCCCTCGATAGCTGGTCCCCCTGTCTGGCTCTGCCACTGGCCTCTTGATGACACGGGGAAAAAGGCTGCACTTGGAATCGCTAGCCTGGGGTTGAGTTCTCAGCTCCAGTCACTTACGCAGCCCAGTGACCAAGCTCAGAGCTCTCGTTGAGGCGATGGGGCCACAGTCCCTGCACCTCACAGGGGACTATGACGATTAAGCAGACAGCAGATATTACAGCACACCTTAGCAGCAACGCCCCTCCCAGCAAGATTAATCCACAGCATGCAAAGCCCACGACGGGGTCAGACAAATGAGGAAACGTCAGTTTCCTCATCTGCAAGTGGAGACGGTAAGAGGATCGTGGTGGAGATTAAATGCACCTGCACATAGAAAGTGCTTAGAGCAGGGACTGTGCATAGTAAGTGCTCGATAAATACCAGCTATAAGTAGTAACAATTACATTATTAACTACGAATGGTAGTGATTAAAACGATTAAATATTGCTACTTTTGCCTCTGCCTTCTGCCCTCGTAAAGTCTTGGAACTTCTGAGCTGGAAGGAACAAAAGATCAGGCAGTTTCTCAACACCGAATGACAGGAATTTGGGGTGAAACAATTCTACAATTCTTTGTTGGCAGGACTGTCATTTCAGGATGTTTATCATCTCCCCTCTGCCCCCCAACAAAATGCCAACAGTCCTGGTGAAAAACAGGACCACCCTTTGCCCTTTCCAAATGCCCTCTGGGAGAGGCAGCATCACCTTGGGTTGAGAATCATCCATTTTACTGATGAAGAAATGGATGCCCAGGGTTGGGGCTGGATGGGGTTGTAAGCGGCGGTAAGTGACAGTCAGACCTTGACCTTGGATTCCCTCCTGACTCGTCACAACAGGTGCCCTCTCTGCCTGCATCTCTCCGGGACTTGTCCTGAGACCAGGTAAGCCTTCCCCTCTCTGATTGCCCGACCTGTTTCCCCAGGATCCCCCATCCCCACGGGGGCCTGAGGAGTCACTCACGATGATGAGAAGGATGAAGTAGATGAAGTTGTAGAAGGAATGAGCATCCATCACGAAGTACATGATGTCGACCCAGCCCTCCAGCGTGATGACCTGGGGGGGTTGCAGAGGGGCAGGCTGACTCTGGGCCTCCTAGAGCCTCCTGCAGCCTCCTCCAGAAGCCCAGAACCCCCTCCCAACCCCGAGAATGACCGCTCCAAGCCTGGACTGTGTCCTGGCGCCTGCGTTCTGGAGAATCTCCCAGCGCCCAGGCTGCCCCACCTGGAAGATGGCGATCCAGGCATAGCCGATGTTGTCGAAGTTGATGGCACCCTTGAAGGGGTTGTGCTCCCCTGCGGAGCAGTTGGTGTAGTACTGGTTCCAGTTGACACAGGTGGTGTTGCTGGAGCTGTTGTAGGCCTCGTAGTCCAGGCCGCAGGGCGGGCCGCCGCCGCCCTCCCCGCGCAGCGTGGGCACGCTTCGGCAGGAGCGCATGCCATTCTCGCGCGGCTGGGAGCAGATGAAGGGGTTCTCGTCCTCGTTCTCCGTCTGGTAATAGCGCTCCAGGTCCACGCTCAGCGGGCTGCGGAGGGGACAGGGATGAGGTGGGAGCAGGGTTCTCCTGGGCGAGGGCCCGGGAACGGAGAGCTGGGTCAGTGCACTGAGGCATGCAGGATGACAGGGCAGGGGGCAGAGTTGGGGACAAGCACCGGGCAGGGGCAGAAACATGTGGGTGTGCATGGGGGGTGCCGGGAACATGAGGACTGAACGTGAAGCTGCAGAGTCAGGATGTTAGAAGCTTACATCCCAGAGCAGTGGCTTTACAACGTGCCTGCACATTAGGCTCACTGAGGGGCTTTTCAAAATCCCCGTGCCCAGGCTAAACCCCACACCAATGAAATCAGAATCTGTGGGGGTGGGACCAAGGCCTCAGTACATTTTTAAACTCCCCAATAACTCCAATATGTAGCCAAATTTGACAACCAGACAGGTCACCAGTGTGAGAACAGATATGTCAATACCAATGGGGACTGAGGGAGGTCCCAGCCCCACAACCACTCCCAGGTCACACCCCACCCCGGGCACCACTCACAGGGTGAAATTCTCGGGCAGGAAGCATCGGTTACGAAGCAGCCCTGCCCACAGCTGGACGCCGACGATGCCGAAGATGAAGAAGACGAAGAAGCAGAGCAGCAGGACGTTGCCCAGCATGGGCAGCGTGTCCAGCAGCAGCGTGACAAGGATGCGCATGCCTGTGGGGTCAGAAGCCACGCTGGGGGCGCCAGGCTGGCCGGGCTGGGCTGGCTGCCATGGGCCTGGCAGCACTCCCAGAGGGGGCCCACAGGGCCTCTGAGGCTGAGACGGCCTGGCTCAAGCTGGAGGGGAGACCGACAGACACCCCTAACTCTGTGGGCAGCCCTTGCAGCCCCTAACCCCTACCCATGAGCCCTCTCGGCCCGCCCATGTTAATCAGTGCTCAGGACCACCAAGGATGAGTCAGAGTAACTGCGGCTTCCACTCTCCTGCACTGCATCCCTCCTAACTCTCCCAACATCATCATGGGTGCAGATTTCTCCCCCAATTTACAGACGAAGATCGAGTTTCAGAGAACTGACGTGACTTGTCCAGTATCACAGAGCTGCTAAATGTAGGTGCCAGGACTTTCTGCTTCCGAATCCCACTCTGCAACACACACACACACACACACACACACACACACACGCACTCCCCTCCAACTTCCTTCTCTCACCAGACACAGTCACCTGACCTTTTTAAATTATCACCATCACAGTCGTTGGGGAAACTGAGGCAGAGAACCCAGGAGGGACGTTAGCAGGCAGGAGTCTCACTTTGGGAGCCAGCCCCTCAGCAGAGGCCTAGATGCCCTGCACTTTACTATGGTTCTGAGCCCCCTGCCCCGAGTCTTTTCTCTGCTTGGTCCAGATCCCCACATCAGGGCCTGAGGAGACTCAGGCTGACATCTCCAGTGGCCATCAATTAACAACCCCCTCCATAGGTTGAGCCACCACAACCCCGCCCCGACAAGCCCTCTTACAGATACTGCCCTCCCTCCCTACTCCAGGTCTAAGACCCAACCAGCGTTTGAACCAGCCCCCAGGCAACCAAGCCCTTGTCAAGCACACAGACCTCCAATGGCTAGTTTCTACCCCCAAAGTGCCGCTCACGGCCCCCCTACCCCCTCCAGGGAAAAAGCTTCTAAGCAGCAGCTAATTAACCCTCTTGGTGACTGCCGCTGCCCGGCCTCTGCCCCTCCCAGCCCAGTCTTCTCACTCAGTCCCTCTCCCCCTCCTGCAGCCCCATCCCCCTTCAGCTCCTCTGTGCTCCAACTGAGATCAATTCCTCAGGGTTTGCATTAAGGGAATTACACCGGTGGTTAGACAGAAGCCTATAAATCTGCCAGCCGTCACCTGGGGCGGGAGAGGAGGCACAGGCATACCCCTCGTCTAGAGCTCCTGTTAACACCAAAACACCCCAACGCCTGAAGGATGCACCGAGCAGCTCGCCCACCCAGAGGCAGCTGTATCTCACCCAGAGACACACACACACAGACACACACATGCACATACACACACACACACACAGACACACACACACACACACACACACAACAAAGGGGGCTGCTGCTTCATCAGGCGCAGAGCCCCAGAAACATGCCCCCCCCCCCCACTCCTGGGACTGCAGCAGGGACCATCTGCAGCTTGTGTAGGTTGGGGAGTTGCAAAGGGGGCCTGAGTAAGGGTGGGGGGGCAGGATGTCGGGGGAGCTAGAGCTGCCAAAGCTGCGCTGGCTCGGGAAACCAATGCGGTTTAATTTAGATAATGGTCCCGGCAGTCAGTTGCTGCAACGGGTTGGAAGGGGGTGGGTGGGAAGGAGGAAGGGGACATGGGCAGGAGGGTGAGGCACAGAGTGGCCTTGTCTTGGGAGAAGTCATGCTCGGGTGGCCAGTGTGGTCTCACCAGGGAGAATCAGACTGTGTAGGAGGCTGTTCTGGCTAGAAAAGGCCATCACACTTTGCACCCACTCCTCCGGGCCCGCCAGCCTCTCCACCCCATTCCCACTCAGCCCTATTTCACTGGAGGGAAGGGGTCATCTGAGACATTTCTGACACTCTGACCCCAAATCAGGCAAAATGAGGGGGAAGGGTCTTTCCAGGCAACTTTCACAGTGCCACAGCCAGGTGTGGGGGCTCCATTTGGCCCATGACCCCCAACTTGAGCCCACTCAGCCCTTCTTTGATGGGGTCTGCCTCAGAGTGCCAGGCCCTGATGTGGCCTGTAAGTGGTCACAAGGTAGGGGTAGGGTCTGAGATTTCCATATTTCTTCTTGGGGCTCTCCACCCAGGGGCTGAGGGCCAAGGGGTCACTCACTGGGCACCCGGTTAATGGCCCTGAGCGGTCGCAGCACACGGACTGTCCTGACAGCTGAGAAGCTGACGTTCTGCAGGTCCAGCGAATACTCCAGCATCCTGCAGGGAGGGGCCCAAAGGGAGGCCCTTTGAGTCTGAGGCCGCCGTCGGTGGGGGGGGGGGTCAAAAGAGGTCAATGAGGAATCCTGCTGTGGTGGGGCAGTACCACCTCTGACTCCTCCCCCTCCTCCACCAAGGAACCCCGAAAAGCCGGCTCTCTGCCTGTGGGCAAGGCCACCCCCAAGCCAAGGACAGACTCCTCATCAGAGAACAAACGGAGGAGGGTGTGGATGGAGGGGCCGTGGAATCCAGAGAAGTCCAGACTCAGCGCTACAGACAGGGCAGCCTCGGAGCCTTAGCGGACAGCCAGGGAGAAAGTGGTGCTGTAAGTGGGCTGAGCTGGGGGTTGGGGCCGAGAACCCTGGCCCTGGGGAAAGGACTGATCTGATCCACTGCTCTCCCACCCCCAGCCCAGGCCCTCACCCTGCAATGACGATGAAAAAGTCAAGCCGGTTCCAAGTGTCTCCCAGGTAACACTTTTTCCCAAAGATGCCTAAGGCCACCATCTTCACCACCATCTCCACGGCGAAGAAGGCAAAGATGAAGTCATCAAAGGCCTGATGTGGGGACGAGAGTCTGCTGAAACTGAGAAGCAGGTGGGGGAACACCCCCACCCCCATCCCCACCAGTGGGGTCAGGGCCTCTTGCAGAGAAGGTGTCAGGATTATTAAGATCAGGAGCAGCCCCCTCCCCCACCACACACACTCACCTGCAGGATCCGGCAGCGCTGGGAGTCACAGGCGATGTCCTCGCACGGCCGGAACATGCCCAGGGTCACACAGTTGAGAAGGATGACCAACATGCTGATGCGCTCGAACCAGGTATCCAGGAGGTTAAGGAAACAGCTGGCCAGCCCCGGAGCCGAGCCCGTGCCCTCCCAGCCCACCCTAGCACCTCCTGCTTCTTGACCTCCCAACCCCATCAGAGACGCAACCAGTCGTGATGGGAAGGCCCTGGCCTACACATCAGACCAGTCCCCAGGTCCAGTCCCATTTTGGTCCTCTCACCTCTCTGGACTCTGCTTCCTCATCTGTAAATCAGGAAAAGCCACAAATACCCTGACTATTTGCACAAGCCATTTGGGGGATAAAATCGATCGTGCTTGTGGAAATGCCAGACACTGAGAATTTGCTGCTGAAGCTGAATCCTATTCTCCCTACCTCACAGGGAAGATGTGAGAAGCAAATGAGATAATGTATGTGGATGTGTGACACAAACCTCAAGTCGGATTATGCCTGCCTTACAGTTTACCAAGCACGTTCGCACCATGCCACACTTGATGCTCACAACAGCCCCGTGAAGTATCCGGGGTAGATCATTTTCTTCCCCAGAACCTGAGGAAACTGAGGCCCAGAGAGTCAAAGACATGTGCTGAAGGTCACAGGACAAGCCAGGATGAGATGGAGGTTTCCAAGCTCCTGATCTGGGATAGCTGCTTCCACAGCGCTCAGGCATGCCGCGAAGGGGCTGTCACACCCATGCTGGCACCAGACAGACAGGCAGAGGCAGACAAGGGGGCCCGCAGCTGTAGTGCCCCTTCACCACAGCACCAGAGCCAGAGGCTGCCTCTCCCACCACCAGCCCCCTGGCCTCTCAAAGCCCTCGGATGGCCTCTAGACTCATTCGCACATTTAAATAATGAGGACCCACTACACACCAGGCCCCGTGCTAGGCATCAGCCCCCAGCCCGTGCAGAATGGACAGTATCCTGTATAAACAGACTATGCCGCCATCGCATCTTCTCACGGCTTCTAGCAAAACCCTAGCCCAGACCAACTAAAACGGACTCTGTTCTGCAGCAAGGGGGAGAGAGGCATCCTTCTAAACCCTGAGTCTTTCCACATAGCGGATTTTATTAAGGGGCTCACTTCCAGCCCATGTGCAGGAGAATATACAAAATGACCTGCACACCTTAGAAGGTTCTGCGCACCAGACTCACAGATAAGTGCAAGCACCCTATTTTTCTCAAGGAAAATGGGAGGAGTGGAGAAGAGCAGAGACTAGAAACAAGCAGAGAGTGTGAGACTGGAGAAAAGAGTAGGCCTCGGGGATGGAGGTGGGGAGGGAGTCATGGCAGCCCACGGCCCGGCCCACCAAGCCAGACTCAGTGGAGTGGAGAGGGCCTGAGCAGACGGACTCTTGCTGCCATAACCCCACTTCTGGAGTGAGAGGGCTTTGGCCAGGAACCCAAGGACTTTCCTCCTGGCTGGTCCCAGCCATACTCCATCTCTGTCTGGAACCTCAGACCATGCCCCTCCCCAGGAGCCCACAACTCCTCGATCCCCTCACAGCCCTCGGACCCCCTCCTCTGTCACTCAGGTCCTTCTCCCTCAGACTCACATCCCTTCCCGCTGACAGGTACTCCAATACCCCAAGGTACTGCAATTTCCCTAATCTCCACCTCCTCACAAGAATAAGAGTAAAAAAATACAATAACATAGTTCCAGGTTTTTGGGGTAAGTAGATGGAAGGGGAAATAAAAAGAAGGCTCTGTTTCCATGGAGCTGTTTTCCTGGTGGAGCTGGAGCCCAATGGATCTCTCCCCAGAATAGGGGTCAGCCAGGGGTCAGCCTGAAAAAAGGGGGACAGGGAGAGAGCTCCCTTGGGGCAATCATCTGGAAAGGAAAGGACACAATTACCCTCAAGAACTGGCCTGCTTTCCCCAAGCTCACCCCCTCCTCTCCTCTGCAGGGAAGGGACCCATATGTGCAGATATCTCTACACGGGGGAGTGGGTAGCTCTGGGAAGTGGGGCTCCTGGGATGCCTGTTTGGACCCCTCTAATAGCTGTGCTCCTACCATGGCTCTGTGCATTTGTCTCCTCTCCCTTGCTGAGACAGGGGCACTCTCTTACATCTTTATATCCCCTACAAAGCTTAGAGTAGTGCCTGGCATGTAGCAGATGATCAATACAATACAATGAATGAGTGAATGAGTGAATCAATCAGTCAATCTCCCTTCCTAGAAGCCAGATGTATCTCCCCATTCATGTTTTCCTGCCTTGTTTGCCTCAGTAGCAATGAACTGATGATAACAACGGGGGGGGGGGGGGGGGGGGGGGGGGGGGCAGAAGCGACACCGGAGACGAGCTGTCCCTCCTTCTGTCTCTCCTTCTGTCCCCACCTTCGACATGCTGACACTGGGGCCTCTCATAGCCAGAGTCTGCCTCCAAATAACCCCACCTCCAGCTCTTCACCACTGAAGTCCCTTCTCGAGGGCCCCCTTTGCAATTCACCTTACTCCCACGTACATTCTGCCCGCTCTCTACCACTCTCCTTTCTCTACAGGTAAACATAAAAGGACAGGTCATATACTGCTGGTGGGAATGAAAACTGGTGCAGCCACTATGGAAAACAGTATGGAGATGTCTCAAAAAATTAAAAATAGAAATATCATATGACCCAGACATCCCACTACTGGGTATCTATCCAAAGAACCTGAAATCAGCAATTCAAAGAGACCCATGCACCTCTATGTTCATTGCAGCATTATTCACAATAGCCAAGACGTGGAAGCAATACAAGTGCCCATCGACCGGTGACTGGATAAGGAAGATATGGTATATATACACAATGGAATACTACTCAGCCATAACAAAGCATAAAATCGTCCCATTCACAACAACATGGATGGACCTTGACAGTATTATGTTATAAGGGAAATAAGCCAGATAGAGAAAGACAATCTCTGTATGACTCCACTCATATGTGGAAAATACAAAAACGTGGACAAAGAGAACAGATTAGTGGTTACCAGGGGAAAGGAGGGGGTGGGCACAAAGAGTGAAGTGGTGTGCCTACAATAAGACTGACAAATAATAATGTACAACTGAAATTTCACAGGGTTGTAAACTATCATAACCTCAATAAAAAATAAAATAGAAAAAAAAACATAAAAAGACAGGGAATACACCAAGGCACAGGAAAACTTGGACAATCTGAATCAAGGAATAATTAGCAGGGTGAGGGGGTCCTTCACCCTTCTCAGAGGAGGGCTCGTTTCCTTGGGAACATGGCCGTATGTCACTGTGTGATGTTCCTCTGTTGCCATAACAACGGGAGGATATGTCACCAGGTGGTGGGGATTTGTTGCCATGGTAATTAAAGGGACCCCTCACACATGAACTCCCCTTACCCAGGCTGCTGTCTTGTCCTCATGCAGGGAAGGGGAAGTAGGGAGACCCACAGGTTATCAGGTTGAAGGGAAACCATGTGACAAATCCCCATGGCAACCAAAGGAACGGGGGACACTGGTTGCCATAGTGACTATGAGAGACCTGTGCAGTCATATGTCTACTGTTGCTATGGTGACTGTCCGGGCTGGAGTGGATCCCAAAGGGGGAGGTGGGTAGGAGAGGGGAGGATCTTTCTTCTCCCCACAACCCACCATCAAAAGCAGACAAAAAGGAAATGGCAGGGCAAGGAGCCCCACTGCCATCCCTCCGCCTCTTCTCCCTCTAGGAGAGAGAACTAGAGCATGTTATCTGCACAACTGAGTCCTCTCTGTGGGGCTTATCTAGAGCCCTTGCCTCGCCTGGCAGCAAGGGACAGGGAGGTGTGGAGAGGAGGGAGGAGGGCTGGGGTGCCTCCAGGGGCATGGGGGCTTGGGGCAGGGCGTGACTGAGAAGGGAAGCAGGCCCTCCGGCTGCCCCATTCCCCTCTGGAAGCCTGGAAATCTGGTACTGAGGAGTGCTGAGGAGGAAACCGGCCTGGACCCAGGAATCCTAGCCTCCTAGTATGCGTTAGGAAGGTGGGGTCCTTGTCTCCCCCCCTCCCCCGCCAAGAGAGGCTGGTGCCTATGGGATATGGGATTCAGCATTCCCGGGGTGGGGAGGGATATAGGGCTCAGCAGCGAGGCTCCTGCTAGGAAGGCTGAAAGGGGGATTCCCCCAGCCAAGCCCCCACTCCTACAGCCCGTTTCCCAGTGGGCTCCCTGCCGCCCGCTCCAGTGTGTGGGTGTGTGGGGAGAGAGGCTTCCAGCTGAACCAAAAACTGAAGCCCGAAGAAAGGCAGCCGGCCCCACCCAGAGACAGAGACGTGAGACACAGAGACACAAGAGAGCCAGCCCATTGGAATCTTTGGGAGAGGAAATAGGCCAGAAATCTGATTCAAATGTCTGTGACTCTGTGTGTGTGTGTGTGTGTGTGTGTGTGTGCGCGCGCGCGCGCGCATGTCTGCGTGTGTGAGCAGTTGTGTCTGTCGCCATCCTGGCTGAGGAAGGCAGGGCGGGGTGAGGGCTGGGGCGGGAGCAGGCGCGGGGTGAGGTGGGGCTCTGTGGTGGGGATAATCCCAGGAATGGCTCCAACTGGCACTGTGGGCGATGGGGAGTCCCCCAACAGTTCGGTGGAGCAGAGTGGGTGTGTGACCCAGAAGGAAGGTGAGCCTGGGACAGAAAGGGTGCCAGGGGGTGCTCTGGCCCCACCAAGTCCTATTCAATTCCTCAGCCCCTGACCTTCTCCCCAGACCCCCTCTGCAGAGCCTTGGGCTTAAAATGAGAAGAGGGAATTGGTGAGGACACAGGAAGAACAAACCCCCCCATTTCCTCTGAGGACCAAAATGGAGAATTCTCCCTAGGTAAGAGAAACAGGCAAACTTGGGGCACTGGGACAGTGGCAAGGAAAGCTCCAGAAATTCCCGGTGCCCCCTCCCCTCCAGACACACACACTCAGACACACACAGTGACGCAGTCACACACTCACACTCACTTCTGGAAGCCATTAGGGCTCCTGCCGTTCGGGCCTCCCCCTTCTCCTCCCCCCACTCCTGGCAGGCTCCCCTCTCCCCCTCTGGCCCCCCCTCCCACTCCCCCTCTCGGCATCCCAAATGCCAGCCTGTGATTTCCAAATGAGAAAAAGCTGTGCTGGGCTCTGAGCTTGGAGAAACTCCTACACAAACTTCCAGATGTGACACAACAGCCGGAGAGGGAATGCTCAGGATCTCCTTCCCGGGAGGGGAAACGCACTCCCTCACACTTGAAGAAATACACGCTGGAAAACCCAACACGCTTCTCTATAACCTAGGAGGAGGGGGCCTTTCTGACAATGAACTGACTGTCCACGAGTATCCCTGGTCTCTCCAAGACTAAAACATGCACTTCTGAGCCCCTCTTCCTTTTTTTCCTTTGGCTGCACTCCCTCCCTCCCCCACCCCCAACACACACACACACACACACACACACACACACACACCACTTCCTACCTGGGTCTGGATCTCCTCTCTAGGAAACTTGGCCTCTTAAAGAGGCTAAGAGAGGAGAGGGCTGAGAAGAAGACCAAGAAGAGTCTAACTGGCTTCAGTGCGTTGGGGGGAGGTGTCCTTAGGTCCCGCAGGCTCGGAGGTGCAGAGAGGAACCTTGTGGAGCCAAGGGAAGCCTCACAGATACCAAAAAGAGAGAAGAGAAAGACGGAGGCCCAGGAGTCAGTGCACAGCCCCTCTGGCAGTGAAAATACAGGTTTCCCTTGACACTTGGGGGTAACGGGAGTGATGAGGGGCACAGCTTAGGCGGCCTCCTTGCCAAGAAACTGTCCTCAGCCACCCCAGGCTTTGCACCTTGTCCAGCCCTAGGATGCCAGTGCCCCACACGGCAGACTCCCACGCCTCAGACATAAGCCTATCCCTCACCCCCAAGATGAGCACTAGGCTCCCACCTCTCTTCATTCCAACCCTCTCCACGACCCCTCAAGGAAGAAATTGGCCCTGAGATCATCCCCTAGCACCTGACATAGAGCAGGTGGGGAGATGCTAGCCAAGAGGTCTGGGGTTTTTGGAGGGGGAGGGAAAAGGGAGAGAAGATCTCTCCACCTCCCCTGGACCCCTGCAAAGGAGAGGATGGGCCTGGTGCCTTTTCCCCTTTATGGAGAGGGTGGTTGGTTAGGGGCAAAGAGAAGGGATGCCCAGAGCCCACCTTTCTCAGAGATATTTGTTCTCCATCTCTGCCATGCAGAAAGGGGCCCAGGGGTAGGGGACCGGGGAGGGGGGGAATTAGAGGCCAAGATGTGCCTATTCAGCAGGTCAACAAACCTCTGAGTACCGCCTCCCCTTTCTGCAGCTCAGAGAGAAAGGAAGAAGGGGCAAGGGATGGAGAGGGGGTGTCATGAGGGGAACGTCTTAAAGACCCACAGGGTGTAGAGGATGGGGGTTGGGGGGACCCAAGCTCACATCCCTGCTTTGCGCACTAGAGGCAGCAGAGCTGCAGAGAGTGAGGGCGGCACCAAGCCTCCCCCCTTCCCCAAAGCAGCGTCCCAGTTGGGTTCTCAGGGGTTACAAGGGAGACCTAAGGGTTCCCATCCTGGGTCCAAAAGAGCCCCTGAGCTGGGAAGAAGGAGCCAGGAGAAGCTGTCAAGACCTAGGATGGCAGCGCACCCCCCTTGCCTTCTGGCGGTAGCGGGACCCACCCGGGAGCCTGGAGCCCAGCATCAGTCAAGCAGTGCTTTGTGCTAGAGGCTGAGGGGGAGAGGCCCTGGGGATGAGGGGGCTGGGGTCACCCATACCACTTCAGACAGAGCAGAGGATCTCTCTCCCTGGAATGTGGGGCTTGCCTTCCACAAACCCATCTGAGGAGTAGACACTGGGGTGGTGGACCAGAGTCTTCCTTAGCGAACAGGCTCAGTCTCCCTGTGCCCCCAATACTTTCTTGGAGGGCTACCGTCTCCCATACCTGCTCTGTGCTCAGGTGGGAACACTCTTTATTTGCGAAACGGGATGGGTAACTTGGACCAGCTTAATCCCATCCCCCACTTGCCAAAGCTCTCACCAGTCTTTCCCTCCACAAGAAAAAAATCTAGCACAAAACTCCCCAACCCAACCTCAAGCACCCGCATTGAAGAAGGAATTGGAGAGAAGGGAGGCACTCTGGGTATTGGGCTCCAACTGGAAGGGTCTCTGTCCCAGCTCTGGGGGCAGACAGCTTCTCCTCCGCCACATCTTGTTCTCATTCTGCACCCCTGACATCAGCCGCCGCCGGAATCTCCTTGTTGTGCCTCCAACCCGCGGGGTGGGGGCCGGGGGTGGTGGTTAGGACCTGGTCCCCGCCCCCCAACATTTCCCTCTGGGTCAGTAAAAACCTCAGCCTCGAGGACCAGGTCAGGGGAGGGGGTTGGGTGGGGATCAGACCCTGGAATCCACCGCAAACTTTGGAGCAGGGGCAAGAGGGAAACCCAGGAGATTGCGGTCCCCCCTCCCCCGTCCCCGCAGCTTCCTCCACACCCCACCCCCCAAACTCGGAAACCAAACCTAGCTCGCTAACCGGCGGCAGGCGGAGTAGAGCTCCCAGGCTCCCGAAGCTTCCCACATCTGGAGGATGACGACCCTCCCCTGCCCACATCTGGAGAGCATCCAGCTGCCAACCAGCGGGGCACGTCTCCTCTCTTTTCCTGGCCTGGATCCCAGCCCCCCCAGCGAGGACTGAGGTGTGTGTACCGAGGTGGGGCTCGCCTGGGGTATCGGCCAAACCTGCTCGCGTCTCTGCTCCCACTCCGAAGCCCCCCTCCATTCCTTAGTAGCTCCCTTCTCCTCTGCCTACCTTCCAGGCTCACTTCTCCCACTCACCTGGCTTTTGGTCCCCTCCGGTGGCTCGGCCCGCCCCCCTGCGGACCCCCCAGCCCGGCCGTCGTACCCCGGAGGATATGGGTTACAGACCGTGCGGAGACACCAGCTCCGCGGGCGGCTGTCCTGGCTCAAGTAGAAGAAAACCACCGGGGCCAGCGCCGGGTACGGCAGCCCCTCCGCCTCGGAGTCCGCGCTGCCCGGGTCCTTTTCCGCCGACCCCGGCCCCGGCCGGCCCCCGGCCCCCGACAGGTCGTTGAGCCGCATGAAGCTCCGGGGCTGTCCTGACTCCTCGGCGCCCGCTCCATCCTCCTCCTCGTCCATCCTCTGGCCAGCCGGGGCCCCGGGCGGTCTCGAGAGGGGCGAGCGGCGCCCCTCAGAGGAGGTGTCCTCACGCAAGCGGGGGGCCCCGGCGGGGGCGCATTTGGGGGGCTCTAGGGCTCAGGCTGAGCCCCCGGGAGGGCCAGTTCAGCCCAGCTCCCCCTGCCCGCAGGGGCATGCTGCCCGCGGGGCGCCGGGTCGCAGGGAAGCCCCGCCCGGCGCGAGTCCCGCTCCCCCAGGGCCCCTGGGGCCCCCCGGGCCAGCCGGCCGGCTCCCCCTCACTTTGTTCCGGCTTCTTCGATTCGCGCCCAGGCTCCGGTCGCCCGATTCGGCGCTACCCTTCGGCGAAGCGGCCCCGAGAAGGGGAGAGAGAAGGGGGCGGAGGGCGGGGGGGTCCGGGGAGGGGCGCCCCCTCTTCCCGCGGCGCAGCTGGAGCAGGATCTAAGGGGTCAGCATCGTCCCGGCTCCGAGCCAGCGGCGGCGGGGGGAGGGGAGGAGGGATCTCTTTGGGGGTGGGTTTGGAGGGGTGGGGGGCGGCTCCTTCCTCCGCCCCTCGGCGGGCTCACGGTCCAGGAGGGGCGGGGAGACGGTGGGGGGCCGTCCCGGGCGAGGGTGGAGGCGGAGATGCCGCCGCCGCAGCCGCCGCGGTGGCTGCCGCTGCCGTAGCTGTCGCCGGCGCCACTGCCTCCTCCTCCGGCCGAGACGCGGAGCGAGCAAGCGAAAGCGGCGGCGAGGAGCCCGGCGCACACCACAGCTGGATCCCTCACTCCAACTTCAAGCCTCGGCCCCGCCTCTCCCCAGCCAGCCTCGCAGCCAATCGCCGCACGCCGCCGGTCCCGAGCCGCGCGCCCATTGGCCAGCCGCCGTGGCAGTGAGGGCGGGGCGCCCGCGGAAAGAACCACAGCTGGAATCCTATTCCCACCCCAAAGCCCGGGACCGCCCCTCTCCCCTCCCCTTGCCCCTGGGTCCACTCCCGAAGGCCGGAGCCAATTAGAAGGCTACCCAGACCGAACCCACTTTCCTATTGGCCGCTGGGGTCTCTGGGACTCCCCTGGAGGGAGCCGGAATCAGAGAATTCGCCGCGAGGTCCTGGGATAGCGCCGCCGGCCCCCGGCATCCTTTGTCCACGACCCCTGAATTGGACCACAGCCGGAAGGCGGGGCTCAGCTCTGGGCGGGCCTGGAGAAGAAGGGAGGAGGGCAGCTGGGGTGTGGGGTGTGACCAGGGTCCCAGAGAGGAATCCTGGGTCTCCACCTGGTTAATCACTCACTGGAGTTGAGCCTGGGAGCGGAACTGAGGAAGGAGAGGAGCGGAGCAAGATGTCCCGGGGGTAGGGCTTCACGCAGGAGAGACATGGTCTTGGGGAAACAGGCCGAGCCAAGGAAAAGCTGGGGCACGCAAGGTCTGGGCGTGGCCTCCACCAACCTCTGGGGCTTGTTGGTCCTCCTCCCAGGTCCACTTCTGCGACTTTGACCCTGACCTCCTAACCCTAACCCGCTGACCCTGACCTCACGTTGACATTCCTGAGTTTCATCCCCTCTGCCCCTAGGGATCCTTTGGAGGGTGTGGATCCAGCGCAGGGGGCTTCGCGCTTGAGCACGTGGCCCCAGGCAGGCCACGTCGGACTCAGAGCCGGGATCCCCAAGAGCAGCTCAGAGCAGAGAGAGGCTCCTGCAAAGAGTGTGTGGGAGCGGGTGGCAGCACAGAGCTGGGCTTTGCCGACTCTTAAACTGCAAAGTCTCATCAATCGTCCACTCCGTGCCTCAGTTTCTCCCTCTCGAGTTCCAATATGGTATGTGGAGGCTGTCCGCAGGACAGGAGCTTCGCGGGGCTGCTCTCCCAACGGGAGGATGTCCTCGAGTGTCTGCGGCTTCCCACGCGCGCACGCGCACGGGCAGACCCCGGCCCTCGCTCTGCCTCACCTTCCCGAGTCCCCGGGCTCCCTCTCGCCGCCGGCGCTGCCCCAACAGGCTGTAGGTACCCGGGAGCGGAGCGCCGCGGGAGTGCTGGGCGCTGGGGTGAAGTGGGGTGGAGAGGGCATCGAGGATTAGACATCGGGAAGCACTTGCCCACCTCTGCAGGAGGTAGACCCAACGGAACAAAGCAGGTCAGTCAGTTCCCCCTCCCGGGATTTCGGGACGCTTACGCCACTGCGGAGAGGCAGAGGGATGGACCGGATGACCTCCCGCACCCGCCCCCCGACTCCCCGGCGTTGTAAGCTCTCCCTTTGGCTGTGCCACCCACGCAGCCCCTGCGTGCCTCCCGCGGCGTGGGGTGAGTGTCTCAGCTCCCTCCGGGGGGCGTTGCGGGGAATGCAGTGGGGAGGGCTGCGCCGTCGCCTCCCCGGTTGCCCTTTCGCCGAATCCGGGCACCGAGTTGTTGCAAATGAGGCCGGGCTCATTTGCATTTCATGCTAATGAGCAGATCCCTTAAGTGCCTCTCTGTCCTAGCTGGAGCCTCTGCTCTCATTCCGCGTGTGCCCCGCCAGAGTCTTGAACTCGCAGCCGTCTTCTGGGAGAGGGACCTATTTATGGTTCGCTCTACGTGTCTGACACCTACTTCCCTCCCGCCGGTCCGCAGTCTGCCGGGTCAGCCTGCCCTTCCCCGATGGGTCAAGAGGCCCCAGGACTGGCACCGGAGATAGTGACTCTAATCATCCCCTCTTTGCAGAGAGGAGAATAAGGCCACAGAGACTTGCCCAGACCAATGGCCAGGTTTCCTGGTGGTCAGCAGGCCCCACACCTTCATCTATCATCCAGGCCACCCCCAGTCTCTGGGCTGAACTCTGTTCTAGAACATATCCAGAAAGGGGGAACAGACACATGTACCATCTTGACAAAATGAGACCCACATTTACTTCCCTGGGCTCAGGGTGTGGAGTGACCCATCACCTAAGGCATCCTGATCCCTGTGTGGGCACTGGCGGACTCTGACATCCCAGTCAGAGATGCTCACTATTAGCCTGAGTGGAGAAGGGAAGGGAAGGCAGGACCCATGGAGAGGGCAAAGGAAGCAGTGAGACCATCTTTAACTCCCACCCTCCAAGCCTCAGCTCTGACATCACCTCCTCAGCAGCCTTCCTTCAGCAAGCACTGCAGTGCCTACTAAGTGCCAAGGTGCTGAGGGCACAGTACTGAGCCAGACAAGAGTCTGGACCCTCCTCACACTTTGCCCAGGCTGGGATTACATATTTGTTTGTAGTAATGAAACAACTGTCTTCCCCTCTAGGCTGTGTGTCCCCTGAGGGCAGGGCTATGTCCATTTCACTCACCAGGGCCTAGTCCAGGGCTTGGCACATAGTAGGTGCTTAATAAATCTGTTAGATGAATAAATAACCTCAGACAGGGAAGGGGGGTAAGAGGGACAAGGAATTCCTTTGTTTGGGCCTCAGTTTCCTAACAAAGAAGTTAGGCTTAAGTGTTGTCTAACATCACTTCTGGGTTTGAGGGGGAACCCCCATTTGGCCCTGCTCGGCCAGCCCCACCAGCCCATCCAGCCCCCTCCCCTTTACGCCTCCCTCACGGCCTGGCTGGCTCCCTCAGGAACCAACATAATCTTCCCCTCTGTGATGCTCTCTGCTCGGCAATGATACAAACATCGTCCCATTTAGTCACCTCATAGCCTTGGGAGCTGGGTGGTAGTTGTCCCATTTTTTAGATCAGAAAACTGAGGCTCAGAGAGATGGAATTACTTAAGCGACTGCTCAAACCCATTAGGCCCTGTTTCCAATGACCCTGACCCACAGGTCCTCCAGGACAGTCCTGCCGGCAGTTCAAGGAGCTGACCCAAGAGGGACCAGCAAAGGGGAAGAGAGGCTGCAGACTTTAAATCCCACGTCTGAGCAAGACTTGTGTTCAGCCTTGTCCTCTTTATAAAACACACCCCTCCCGGGAGAACTCACCCCCTAAGGCCCTACCTCCTTCCTCTGATCCCATTTACAGAATCCCATAGTTAGGTGTGTGCTGGTACCAGGGGAAGGGAAAGAGGATACAAAAGCAGAAGGAAGCCTGGATGCAGGGGTCATCCAAACACACCCTCCTTCACAGCTGTGCCTTGACCTCCGAGGGGACGAGGAAGCCTTAGTGGTCTTTATTGTACCCTGAAGACCCCAGAAAGAACCAGATGTGTTGAGTGGTCTCAGGCCAGTCTCTTACCCTCTCTGGGCCTTGAATATCTATCCATATGAGGCCAAAGGTACCTGCCTTGCCACCTCTTTTATGAGGGTCAACAGGATGACAGAGACAAGAGTGCTTTGCCAACTGTCTAGACCTTTCCAAAGCCAGGGCTGGGGTTGCCAAAAAGGCCACCTGTGCTCCACCATGCCCCACCCTCCTTCCTCGCTGCCCCCAAGACCAGGCTCTACTTGCCCAGCCCTCAGACTTCTGGGCAAGGCTGAGCAGCCTCCCGCCAGGAAGGGGCCAGCTGACCTTGTTGGCCAGAGCCCTAATCTCCTCCAGATGGGCTGGTGGCTTGCACTGAGGGCCCAGCTGCCCAGACAAAGCTGACCCCGGTCCCAGTGACCATGTGTGGTGGTGTGTAACTGTGTGCAGGGGGTGGCCACAGTCCTGAGCGGATCTTGGAGTGACTCAGTCTAGTCTCCCAGCTCCTTCCTGCCCACTCCTCCTCACTGCTGACATCCCCACAATCGGTGGCCCTATTAGGACTTAATCTCCAGCAGCCTTTTCTGGCTATCTGTACTGCATGGCTCTGGGGCTACAAGGGTGCCCAGGCTCAGCAGACCTCTGAAGGGCCTGGGAGGGCAGCTCCTTCCCCTCCTCCACGCCTGTCAGCCCCATCCCCCTAAAACTGCCCTCCCCAAAGCACGCTTCCAAATTGCCTCCCACCAGTGGAAGCTAGATGGGTTTTCTGGGACTGTGAAGATGCGAGTGCCCAGGACAAGACTTGTGAGCATCCCCCAACATTGAGGGGACAGGAGGAGACCACAGGAAGGCACTAGATTGCCCTGCAGCAGGAAGGACTCAGATTTGGAGAAGGATTTCCAACCCAACTGATGTTCCAAATGAAAGAGAACTCCTTCTCTGGACTGGCTGTGTGAAAGCAGGAGGAGGGCCAATACGACCTCCTGCAGGGCAGCTCTGGTTCCATCCTGGTGAGGCTGGGGGCCGGATGGATACCCTAAAAGAAATGTCCTTGGTCCTGAAAACAGCAGCTCCTATGATGTACCAGAGCATATTGCAAATGTTGCCATTCTGTGCAAAATAGCTCATAGAGAACCCCCTGCCTCTTCCACCGCTTAAAATAGGAGGAGACAACGGGAGCGGGAGAGCAGGCCCCTTCTTACCCCCACCTGGAGGCAAGGACTGACCTTTCCCCTTCTGGGCAAGTCCATATCCTTGTCCTCACTCTTGGCAGTCATTACTGGTCCCCTGCTCTCAGTTTCATTCAGGCTGCAATGACCATGGATGGGGGCAGGGTCAGCCCAGGGACCTCTAAAGGTGAAGGAGGAATTTGAGAAAGCAGAGGGGTCAGCTAGGGGCTCCCAGAGGAACGAGCTCCTCTGGTTCCCAACTTGTTCCCAGGCTGGAGCCTGAGGCCCCTCCCTCACAAGCAAGACTGAGCCCCTGAAGTGACCACGGGACGCTGTTAGGTTTATTCCAGGGTGAGTGAGTGCCCATGGTGGGGGCAGCAAGGATGGCTGAGGTCACCTGGTGACAGGGTGCCCAGGGATGGCCACGGGTTCTGCAGGGCCCTGCAGGGCCCGAGTCTCTGGTCAGCTGGCAAGTTCCACCTTCTGCCCCAGCCCGAGA